TGCAGAAGAGCCAGCCTGTTTAGCCTTGGACATACTGCATAGTCCCAGAAGTGCCAGAAGAAAACCCTGAAAAGGACCACCATAAATCAGAATTAAGTTTACAGATGATGATGATGATGATGATGATGATGATGATGATAATAAAGTAGTAATATGCAAATCAATAGTACTAAGTACTGTGTATTCTGTATTACTTAGGAACAGGAGGAAATTGCAAAGAAACATGAAGAAGACCTAAGAATGCTACATCAAAAATTGGATTTACATACAGACAATTCCTTTAATAAATTTAAGCAAACTGCATTAGTAAGTATGGTGTTTTTTTTAAAAAAATGAAACCTGTGCCTTGTTGCTAGACACAAGTAGGGACTAGATATACTGATTTAATGGCTGAACTGTTAGTGAATTCTTGTTTAAATCCCATTGTGTCAGTAGGTGTACTATAGATAGGATTAATCGTAAGATAAAAGTTTGAGTATTTAGGTCACAAAAGGGAAAAAGAAATGGGCAGCTGATATGATTATTAACTGTCATGGCAGTTATTGTTAGAGGGAATCTACCACTTTTAATCTGCTGACAGGTTTGCTTCTGTCAGGCAAAGCAGGGGCAATTTCCCCCTCTTCTGCAAGATATTCCATGTGTTCAAACTTGCTTTAGGAAGCTGGGAATCCTCTTGGATGAAATTTTCAATTAGCATGGAGGCTCCATAGGAGATGGTGAAGAAGATTCCTTTACACTGATGGATGCTTACAAGAATGTTGTTGGATTTGAGAAACTGCTGCTGCTAATGTTACTTTGGCCTGGATTCAGAAAACTGCAATAGAAGTTGACTTATAGAACTGTGTGTTGCAGACCTTTCACCCCTCTTTCCCCAAGCTAATTTTGGCGGTTCAGTTCTGAAATATTGTTGCGGGGAGGAAGGCATCCTAGGGTGTTGAAACATGGCGGGCAGAATTAATAGACATTATGATTCTTGCCCTTGCAGCTTTGATGTACACTGGAGTTCCTTTTAACTGAATCCATGGAGTTCCTTTTAACTGAAACAACCCTGCTTACTTCAGGGTTGGCAATGATTTCTCTGTCACTCTTCAGTCACCATTTTAGGTTTCCATCTTAATGTACCATCTTGATCTATCAAGCTCATAAGAATGCTCATATATATATACTGCAAAGAGAAACTGTCTTTTTTCATGTTTAGTATAGTGATAAACTGTTTACTCCACAATAGGTCTCACTGATAGTTTTTCAAACAGCTTTTCCATAACGTTCAATGTAAATCTTCATAAAACTGTTCAATTGGCAATAGAAATTGCCAATAGAAATCAGTAATTTAGATTCAGGTGTGTGCTTGAAATGCAGGATATGAGAAGTTAAATTAATCTTATTTAGAAGAAATCAGTAATTTAATTTAGATTCAGGTGTGTGCTTGAAATGCAGGATATGAGAAGTTAAATTAATCTTATTTAGATTTTTATCTAGAAGAAATTTCATCTAGGTTACTTAGAACAAAAGTGGTGATATCAAGTAAATAGTGAAATATTTATTCTCCCTAAAATATACTTTCTTCTACAGGAATTGATGAAAAAGCCTTCTTTAGCTGTACCAGCAAATAAACATCTAATTCGTCTAGCAGAGATGGAACAAACTGTAGCAGAACAAGACAGCTCCCTTGCTTCCCTTCTGAGCAAATTAAAGAAAACTTCATCTGATTTACAAAAACAAAAGCAAATTACCCTGGCAAAAATGAAGGAATTTGATAGAATCAGAGCTCAGTAAGTCTAAACTTGAGTTACACTTCACAATATAAATTACATGCTTATAGTTTGAGATACAGCTATTTATTTAAACTTTGTAAAACCTTGATAAAAGTGTGCAGGAAATAAATTCTAATCTCACTGACTTCATTTAAAAATACTGTTTCTGTTTTCAGGAGCATTCTTTGATAATATAGTGAAAATAAAAACATTGCTGTTCGTTGTTTCATTAAACAAAAATTGGTTGCAATTCCCAACCTTTGAATCTTTCATTCAGCATCATCCTAGTACGTTCCATATTACTGCTTCCAAATACTTCTGTTTTTTTGCTGGAAATCTAAAGAAATACATGGATAATTACAATGTAGTTGATAAATTCCATAATGACGATGATGATGATCATCATTATCATCATCAACATATAGCAGTGAAATTTAACCACTTCAAAATTCTACAACTGAAGACTGGATGACGACATTTCTGATAATAAAAAATAATCAAAAGGGCAATGAACCTCATAATTATTGACCAATTACATGCCTTCCTACAATGTTTAAGCTCCTCACAGGAGTACTTGCAAGATCAATATATAATTACTTAACTGAAATCTTCCTAAACCCAACTGAAAAGAAAGGGAGCTTTAAAAAGTCAAAAGGCAAGAAAGATCAGATGCTTATTGATAAAATAATACTGAAGAATGCAAAAAGAAGAAAAACAAACCTTAACATGGCCTGGATAGAGTATAAAAAGGCATTTTACTCTTTGCCATACAGCTGGATTAAAACCTGCCTTAAAATGTTTGGGATTAGCAAAAACATTCAGAAGTTTGATAGTTGTTGTAGGTGCCAGACAGAGTTCTAGGTCCTGTCCTCTGAAGATGCCGGTCACAGAGACTGGTGAAACATTAGGAAGAAAAAACCTCTAGAACATGGCCAAAGAGCCCGAAAAACCTACAGCAACCATTGGATCCCAGTTGTGAAAGCCTTCGAGAATACATTCAGAAGTTCCTCAAGAAAAACACCGAAAAATGAAAAATTGTCTTAATGGCCCATGGTGAAGAAATTGGGGAAGAACAAGCAGGAAAAGCAATCATCTGTTATACGTGGATGACTTAAAACTATCTGCAAAAAGTTCCATGGAGATAGAATCACTGCTAAACACAGTGCAAATGTTTAGTGACTAAAATTTGGAATTGACAAATATGCAGCTCTGTAAAATTTGGAATCGACAAATATGCAGCTCTGTCTATACACTGTGGCAAGATCCAAAAACTAGATGAAACAGACTTTAAAAATGGCAATATTTATAAAATCACTATGAAGTGATGAAAATTATAAGTCCCTGGAATATTGGAAGCAGATAACAGTGTGCACACAAAAGTTAAAGACCTGACAGAAAGGGAATATATCAAAAGACTGTGGAAAATACAATCAAAGCCATAAACACATGGGTTGTTCCAATAATTAGATACCCAACTGGAATAATAGATTGGCTTCAAAACGAATTAGAAGAATTGGATCAAAAAACACAGAAACTAATGAACATACATCATACACTGCATCCTAAAAGTGATGTGGACTGATTATATTTACCACAAAAAATCTGAGGTCATGGATTACTACAAATACAGCAGGTAGTAGAGGAGGATAAAGAAGTGTAAATGATTATATCAGTACAAGTGGAGAAATTTTTTTAAGGCAATGAAAATGGAGAATATTTTGAAAACAAGAGAAACAAAGGTTCAATATAAGAAACAACAATTTGAAAAGAAATTATAAAAGAAAAAATAAACCACTATATGGACAACACTAAATCTGAGGTCATGGATTACTACAAATACAGCAGGTAGTAGAGGAGGATAAAGAAGTGTAAATGATTATATCAGTACAAGTGGAGAATTTTTTTAAGGCAGTGAAAATGGAGAATATTTTGAAAACAAGAGAAACAAAGGTTCAATATAAGAAACAACAATTTGAAAAGAAATTATAAAAGAAAAAATAAACCACTATATGGACAACACTTGAGAAATATTGATGGAAAGCATGATCTTATTCCAACATGGGCATGGCTAAAACTGGAGACCCTTAAGAAAAAGAAAAAAAAGACTTGATTTTTGCTGCATAAGAACAAGCACTCCAAACCAGCGTGATGAAAGCTAAGATCCAAGGAATTATTGCTAACAGGAAATGTCAATTCTGCCAAGAAAAAGATCAAATAGTGTCATACTTCATCTGCGAATGTCCAAAGATTGCACAGATTACAAAATTAGACATGTTAGAGTGGCAAAATTAGCACACTGGTCATTATACAAAAAATATAACTTATTGGACTCAAAAAGCCATGGGGAGCGTGATGAAAGCTAAGACCCAAGGAATTATTGCTAACAGGAAATGTCAATTCTGCCAAGAAAAAGATGAAATAGTGCCATACTTCATCTGCAAATGTCCAAAGATTGCACAGATTACAAAATTAGACATGTTAGAGTGGCAAAATTAGCACACTGGTCATTATACAAAAAATATAACTTATTGGACTCAAAAAGCCATGGGAACTTCAGATAGAGAAGGTATTAGAAGATGACGAAGTCAAGATCTTACGGGATTTCCAGATCCAAACTGATAGACACCTTGAACATAATACAGCAGGCACAGTAGTAATAGAATGAAGAAACATCTAGATCATTGACATTGCAATTCCAGGGGATGATGGAGTTGAAGATAAGAACTGGGAAAACTAACAAAATATAGAGATATGACAATCAAAATATCTCGCTTGTGGATGAAACATGGAAATCAAAATATCTCGCTTGTGGATGAAACACATTTCAGTGGTCCCTATCATCATCGGGGCTTTGGGGAAAATATCAAGAAATTTCACAGAGTATTATAAGTGGTTGCAGATCCCAGAAATAATACTATCAGATCTACAAAACACGGCAATATTAAGAGCAACATATATACTACGCCAGTATTTAACAGATACTTAAGTTTTAGTTTAGTATCTGTTATATAATAGTCAATATTTTTATAATTTTGATTGACTATGTCTGATATTTTGAATAATGACAATAATAAGCTGGGTGTATCTTTTAAAATAACTATGTATTCTTCCCTAGGGTATATCTGATCCAAAGTGTTTCAAAAGTACTTAACAGTTCTTCTTTGTGAAATTATAATAGTTTGTGGCCAAATCCCATAGATGTTAGTATACGCTTCATGTAATTTGCCATGGCTAATTGATGAGTAAGTAGTCCAGGTACATTTTGGTTGTGCAGTTGGGCATATGACCAAGCATATCATTGAGACATAACCTGGCAACTTGCAAATCTTACATGAACACCAATAGGATTCTGAGCAATACTTCTTAAAGACTATTTATGCCTTACTTGTTCTCAAAATATATACAGTGGTGCCTCGCTAGATGATTACCTCGCAAAACGGTTAATTCGCAAGACGATGGTTTTTTGCGATCGCTATAGTGCTTCGCAAAACTGTTTTCCCTATGGGCGATTTTCACTAGATGATGCTTCGCAAGACGGGGTTTTTTTCGGGACGTTTTTTCGCAAGACGACGATTTTGACAGCTGGGCCTGCGCTTCGCAAAACGTTTTTTTAGGGACGTTTTTTCACAAGACAGCAATTTTGACAGCTTCACAAAATGGTTTTCCTATGGGCGATTTTTGCAAGACAATGATTTTTCCCCCATTGGAACGCATTAAATGGATTTCAGTGCATCCCAATGGGGAACTGCATTTCGCAAGACGATGTTTTCGAAAGACAGTGATTTTCGCGGAACGTATTAACATCGTCTTGTGAGGCATCACTGTATAGTGAGGGATCAGCTCCATACATCCTGTCCATGTTCTACATTATGGTGTGCTTTAGATTTTGTTTCCGCTCAGAGATCTATGTAAGCAATATAGTCTCAATAGCACAAAATCCAGATTGAGCCTATGCACAGTGACTTCTGTTTTGATTGGCCTCTGTGGAAAATTCGTATGGATGTCTGGCAGAGGTAGAGGGAGTCTATATTGGATGGGTTTAGTACTCTCCATCTTGATGGTGATCATACAAGTGCCTGTTCTTTGAGCTGAAATAAACTGAGGTTGTTTTTTCCTTATTCAGAAATATTTATACTTCATACAAAAACAGTGCTTTGCTCCCACAGGCCACTTCTGGGAATCTTTATAATTATAATCAAAGCGCTGTAGCATTTCAGCCTTGTTAGTCCATCTGAAATTCAGTGTATCCTATGGATGTCATCATTATTTATTATTTTGCTGTGCTAGAGTGGAACAGAAGCATGTTGCTGAAGTGAAAAAATGGAAAGATGAAGTGGCTGAATTAAGGAGCTTGTTGTCACAGATGGAAAAAGAATTAATGAACGTAAAGACAGAGCTGGAGGCTCAAAAAGAAGCAAATAATAGAGCTCCAACAACTACAATGAAAAATTTAGTGGAACGGCTGAAGAATCAGCTAGCCTTAAAAGAGAAACAGCAGAAAGTAAGTACAGAGAAGAAATACGTGGGGGATAAACAACTTGTTATTTCAGTCTCCTGAGCCTAACAGCAGAGGCCTATTCATGATAGCTATGTACAATGGCTAGAGTATCTAGGGGTTGTAGAATTACAGGAATTATTAACACAACCCACAGTCTGCAAACATGTGTACAGCTTTATAGCTTCTTGGGGAGTGGAAGAGAGGGGATAAAAGATTGCATTTTGGTGTTAGATGTGATGGAAGGATTATAAACCTAGCATCCCATCTGGATTCTACTCTGGGTGCAGAGGAAGACTAAAGTGTTCCAGTTCTCCTAATCTATCGACTTGCCTGAAGGACTTCATGGTTGCTTGAAGCTGCTGTGAAACAGTACTGGATCAACTCCTACCACTTTTTAGAGGTCACAGTGCAACTTTTTTTCTGCAAATGTAAACTAGTTATAAGAAAGAGATAGGCAGCTTATGGAGGCTGCTTCACAAGGCCATACTTCTTGCTGCTGCCCTGCAATGCAGATTCAGTGATGTGTTGCAGTGGCAGTCCTCTGCCATTTTGTATACAATTTATTTACAAGACATGTAACTTGTAGCACAGGGGTCTCAAACTCAATTTACCTGGGGGCCGCTGGAGGCAGAGTCTGGGTGAGGCTAGGCTGTATCAGATTTTCTGCCAAGTGGAGCAAGAGCCCGAGGAAGCCATCCAGGAGTTTCCTTAGCCCAGCTGGGGCTCACTATCACCCCCACCAGCAGGAGCAGGATGAAGAAGCGGAGAAGGGAGGGAGCGCTGGCAACTGCCTAGGCGGGGGGGGGAGGGCACAACATAAAATTTTTAAAAAATGTCACAGTATCACCTTACCAAAGGAGAAAAGCCCATTGGTAACTGCAAAATTAAACAGAGTGGGGCGGCCCCCTCACAGGTGCACGCAGGTGCGTGCACACACAAAACACACACACACACACACACAGAGAGAGAGAGAGATTTTTAAAAAATGTCACAGTATCACCTTACCAAAGGAGAAAAGCCCATTGGTAACTGCAAAATTAAACAGAGTGGGGTGGCCCCCTCACAGGTGCGCGCAGGTGCATGCACACACAAAACACACACACACAGAGAGAGAGAGAGAGATATCCGGCAACCTTCCTCTGAGGGCCCCCTCTCAGAAAAAGGTGCACTCAGCAGCAGCAGCTACCCCCACCATGACAGAGGAGCAAACTTTGTGAGGCGAGCGCAGGCAGCCTCCACAGCCAAGGCGGCTGAAGCAGGATGAAGCGGAGGAGAAGGAGAAGGAAGCACCACTGGGTGCTGAGGCAGCCGCTGGCTGGGCTGGTGCGGCAGCCTTCCTCTGAGGGCCCCCTCTCAGAAAAAGGTGCACTCAGCAGCAGCAGCTACCCCCACCATGACAGAGGAGCAAACTTTGTGAGGCGAGCGCAGGCAGCCTCCACAGCCAAGGCGGCTGAAGCAGGATGAAGCGGAGGAGAAGGAGAAGGAAGCACCACTGGGTGCTGAGGCAGCCGCTGGCTGGGCTGGTGCTGGGGGTGCCGAGAGAGAAAGAGAGCCAGAGAGCCACTTCCCTGGAAGAGGTGGTGGCGGCAGGTGCTGTTGGCGGCTTGGAGGTGCTCTTCGAGAATGGGCCGAGAGTGAGCTCCACTCCACCTCGCTCACCGGCTCTCCCCCAATACAGTGCCTCTTGCACCCTCCATCCAAACTGCAGCCTGCCAGCCAGCAGACAGGTGGGCCGGCTGGCAGGCCACCGTTCCGGATGAGACCCGTGTTCTATGAGATCTGACTGACGTGGAACTAATGCTTATGCTCCCCATGTGCTTTGTTTTAATGTATAAGGGCCTGGTTTAATGAAAAAGTGCAACTTCTGTGCCAACACCAGATTTAAGTGATTGTTTCAGCAGGACAATTCAGAGTCAACAGAATGACCACATGTAGCCTGCAGGCTAGCTATTATCCATGTGTGCCATAAACACTTAACCAGCCCTAAAATTGTTAAATTCTAGGGTGTAAATTTAGCTTTATATAAGCAGGTTTTGGGCTACTTTGTATCACATATCATCTTTTAAATCCATTCTGGGATTAATTACTTTTTTTCTTTAGTTAGTAAAGAGTAACAGATATTAAAGGTATAGATTGTATCAATTTTTAGAATTCAGATTTTAAATTACAAGTTCTTCCTATTTTTAATAATTGTGTGTATTTTCAGGCTTTGAGTAAAGCACTCTTGGAACTTCGAGCAGAAATGACAGCTGCTGCAGAACAACAGATCATTTCTATAGCATCACAAAAGGAGGCACACATGAATGTTCAGCAGATTGTCGACAAACACACAAATGAACTGCAGGTGAGCAGAAAATAGCATGTGTATATAGTATTGCTTACTGTATTTTGTTCTCATATGATAATAACAGCTGAAAAGGAATATATGCCAGTAATAATCTTGTCCTTTTTTTGCCTTTATATCATATTTTTCAATGTTAAACTATAAGATGTAGTTTCCCAGGCACTGCTACTAAGCATCTTATTATGTTTCTAGTACAGTACTGGCGAGTTAAATTAGGCAATAGCAGTGTGAGAAGAGCTCCATAGGCAGATGGTGGGAGGTTTTCACCCTGATTTGTCTGTGGGAGATTTCAGTCCCAATCAGTTACAAGCTGATCTTTGCCTACCCATCCATCTTCCTAATGTAACGTCTTACTGTATTTATTAGCGATGAGAGGACTGATAGAACCACATTGCAGCCTGGGGAAATGTGTGAGCTGTAGTCCAAAAATACAAATCTGCATGCCTGACCTCTACACTGCTTTGCAGTACTGAACAACTATGATCTTCTGAATTGTTCTACTCACATTCTAGTAAAAGAAAGCTGGATTGTCCTACAGACTTTGCTGCTTAAAGAACAAGGTCAGGGACTGAGGAGGTAGGATCTGACATCTAGGGGTATGAAGCAGGTGGGGCCTGCATGCACGGCCCACTGCACTACAGATTTGTAGCCCTCACATTCTAGCAAACACTTGAATTATTATTTTCATTGCCAAATTTCTGCTTGAAGTTCTCTGCCAGAGGTCTTGGAAAGCTACTGCTTAGAAAGGATACAAAATATCAGGCTAGATGCATCTGATATTTTGTATCAGGGTCAAGCCTTTAAAATACTGTAGGACTTTTTGGAGAGTGTAATGTGGAATAGATAGAAACCCATAATTCACCATTTTATTATCAGAAACTCATTTTGGTTGGGGTCCTCTGAATTGTGGCTAGAGATTTGTCTAGGGTTTTCATTTTCTGTATACAGAAATACATATGATTTTAACGTTACAACACTTACATGTTCTGCTGGTAGTCTGAATTAAACTTTCTTAAATCAAATTTCTTATAATAGAATCAAATAGAAGATTTAAATGACCAGCTTTCAAAACTTAAAGATGCCCTGAAGTTAAGTAAAAATAAAGAGAATTCATTATTAGGAGACATAAATGATTTAAATCAGGAGCTTCAGAAAAAAGTCAAAGCCCACACAAAAGTTCTAAGGGAGAAGGAAGAGATGGAAAAAGAAAATGAAGAGCTGAAGAAGCGAATTAAAAGGCTAACCAATTCAATTCAGGTAAATAATACATGGTGGGACACACTTCTTGGGGACTGATTCTTCTTTTCACTGCAGGAGATCATGTAGGAATGGATTACAGGCTTTCTACATGCATGCATAGATCACTGATTATGTGGAAAAAATTAAGATTACTGTATTTATCTCTGTGTAAATATGTCAGAACAAATACTAGTTTACTAGAATCATTAGATAGGTTATTGAAATAACTTTTGCATTTTTCCTCAATATTGATCACATATTATTTCAGTAATTTAAGTAGCAACTACAGGTACATATAAACCGGGACTACCATGCTTCTCAAAGAGCATAATCCAGCTCTATGTTTTCCATTTATTTCAGTGGGGCTTGCACAGCAAGTAGTAATACATATTAGTCATTCTTGATTTTTTCAGGGCAAGGCTGATGAACAAATATTGATAGATGAACTTCAAAGAAAAATTAAGAAGCTGGAAGGTGAGCTAGGAAAAAAGAGTGATGAAACAGAAAAGAAAAGTCCAAGAGATGAGAAGGTGTGGTAGCATATTACAAAATTTGTCTTTGCTGATATGTTTTCTGTTTGATTTGTCATGTTTCTCTCCTTTACTCTACCATTGCAATTGTTTTTGCTTTATAATGAATGGAATGAAAGAAGCAGTTTAGTATAAATAAGCAAAATAGAAAATGCAATGTAATGTATTGATTTAAAGAAAATGCTATTTTATTTAAATCTATATCAAATTTAAAAAATAAATGTGAATTAATGTAAAAACGTGTCTTAAATTAAAATAAGATTTAAATGAAAATTAGCACGCTCCCACTCATAAAGAGGAGATTCTAAGGACAATGTATTTTGGTTTGCTTTCCTTTTTTTAACAGAGCTCAAAAGAAGAATTAATTAGATGGGAAGAAGGTAAAAAATGGCAGTCTAAAACTGAAGGAATGAGAAACAAACTGAAAGAAAAGGAGAAAGAAGTAGAATCCCTAACCAAACAATTAAACACAGTAAAAGAACTTTTTTCCAAGTAGGTGACAGTAATGACAAGACTTCATAGTGTTCTAGCATATAACATTTTTCTTTAAAGTAGGGGTTGATACAGAAGTTTTGAGCAGTATTTGTTTCATCACATACTGATAATCATGTGACAAAACTCCCCATTATATTAAACAATAGGCACAATTGAGGAGGATCCTTAGCCAAGGATCAAATTATATTCTAGTGACAAAACCAATATACTCCCCTCCCCCAATTATTGATCGAGGTGTACAGTGATGCAGTGTCCAAGAAAGACAAGCAGCTGCACATGGCACCTCTCCAAATGTATGTGTACTGATACAGTTTTCGAAGTCCTACATTTGTGGGCATGGTTGGAAAGATTTTCCTCATAAAGATAACAGTGGTGGAATAAGTTGTAGTGAACAACTTTAGTAGCAATAAGGTTGCAACCCTATAAACATTTTCTGGGTATTAAGTCCTAGCGAGGCCTATTTTTCACTAGCTAGACATAAGATTATGGTGTTAAGAAGGTAAATGAATTTAGATATAATTCATATAGAAGCAAATGTACTATTTTTAATGAGGTCTGTTAAATATTATAGGTCTGATAAGGAAAAGCTCGCTTTGCAGAAGAAGCTTAAGAGCAGTGGTGTTACTGTTGATCAGGTTGTGGGAGTGAGAGCCTCAGAATCAGAACGAGAACTGGAAGAGCTTCGAAAACGAAACATGGATTTGGAGAATGAGATTGTTCACTTGAAGTGAGAGATGTTCCCAAAACTCTAGAAGTCTTTATTTTTTTGTTCTACTATTTGTGTGTGTGTGATGTGACTATGTGCTATGTAATGCCAAGATCCTATATGATGTTTGCATACACAAAAAGAATTGCTGAAGTTGCTGTGGCTGGTTGGCAAAGTGTTCTCGGGGGATTTGGGAGACTTATGGAAGAGCATGGGAGGTGGTGTTAGGAGCTGCAGAGGACATGGGAATAGTTAATGTTGCCTCTCCCAGCCTGCCAACCAGTGGTAGTCCCAACAAAACTCCACTCAGGAAGTGCTCTTTTTAGCAAGGGCAAGCTAAAGCTTAGCATTGTTATTTACTTACATTTATTCGTATATGAAGATACTTTGCTGTTTAATTAAGTTATTCTCAAGGTGAATTATATTGTATAGAGAGCATTAAAGGCTCACATGTATGCTCCTTATTAAGCAAAATACTGAAGTATTGTCCTTTCTCCAAATTATAAAAATCTAAATGATAGGAAACTAAGCATTTCATATGGCACACTTTTCCAGTGTGATATCATCCATATGCTTTTTTATGCAGGACACAGTTTGCTGTCCCTCGAGATTCTGTTGTGGAAGAATTGCACTTAAAGAATAGATACCTGCAAGAAAAACTTCTTATTCTAGAGAAACAATTTTCTAGAGAGACGTTTTCAAGACCTTCGGTAAGTTGGAACTATTTTTATCTATTGAAGTGTACAATCAAATATTTTTCTAGACTCATAATCTGCAGTCTTCACTGTAGATGTATTTTTGTTTCTGTACTTTCTTTCTGTGCTGTTGATAATCCAAAATTTAGTGTTTTATTATGGATGCTATGAAAACGAAGTGTTTAAACTTCGTATTTCTATATTCAATTATTTCTATAGCTGTCTGTTTTGTATTGGTCAGGGTGTTCAGATTCTATATTGTGTACAATGAAGCAAAGTGTTTGAGGCATTGTTACTTTTAGGGTCGAGGAAAAATTGCATTCTGAGGTGCAGTGAGATAGGGTTATGGGATGATAATGTATGAATAGGTCATAGAATTGATTAGACAGAATAGTATTTTTAGTATTATTCTGGATGAAGATGAAATGAGATCTGAAGTTTGTAATGGGAATATTTGATTCAGGGTGGGTTTGATTAAAATCATGATTTAAATTGCCACTCAGTTTTGATTTGTTCATGTAGTTTACAGAAGAGTTTATAGTTGCTTGATGTAGCAGTTATACATATATTCTGCAATATATACTTTTCACAATCTCCTTACCCAGATTAACTCAAACAGCTAAAGAGTTTGACACTTTCTGGTATGGGATCAAAGAAATTTAGTAAGTTATAGAGAAAGCAAACAGGAACCGTCTTCTTTCTCTTATAGTACTAAAAATTAGGGCCACACAATGAAATCCTTGGTATTACAAGTATGTTTGATAGACAAAAAAATTCTGATAAATGTACCTTCATCATTTATCATAAAGAGTTTACTACCATGAGTTTAGGTGACATTAGTGCTATTGCATTCTTTTTAATATATTTGTTTGTATTAAGGTTTACATTTTATTGCATTTCTGTCCTGAAACATGGTAAATGAAACCTGTATATCCAGAAACACTAAAGCTAAAGTGTTATATATGGGGACATTTGTATACCATCCAAGTGCTTTCTTGAAGCATCTTAATCAGCTAATACTGCAAATAGGATGCTGTATTAGATCAGTGGTCCCCAATCTGGTGCTTTTCAGATGCCGTTAACATGGCCAAGGGAGAGGGATCATGGTAGTACAAGTCTAAAACATCGGAAGGGCACTCAGTGTGGAAAGCTAGGCTAAATAGTCCAAAATGCTCTTAAGTTTAAGGACAGGAAAAGGAATTTACTTTTTCGGCTCTGAATGGAACTCATTAAGTAAGGGATATATCCACACTTATGCAAACAAAGTATACACAACTGAAATCCTGTGATGTTTAAATGTCTTTTATAATAACCCTCCTTTACAATCTCCTACCTTTTCTTTTTATGTTGCCTACATCTTCTTTGTCAGAGTTCTCCATATGAGACAGCTGCATTGGTTAACACTCCTGTTAGTACTAACACATTTTCTAAACAGAAGCATTTGAAATATCCACTGAAGAGAACTCTTTTAGGTAGGACCATATCAAGTCATCCAGCATTGGTTAATATGAGTAATACAAGTGCTAGTGGAGTCAGTGAGGGAACATGTGCCACAGATGAATCCCATCAGGTTGGTGAAAAACTTGCTGTAAGTGGAACTTCAGAAAATGGGGAAAAACAAGAGGATTTAGAGGAATGTCTGGAAGTCAAAATTTCCTGCTCTGCAAAAATGGAAGAAAATTCTGAACAGGAAAATGGGGCTTCTGAAGAGGATAACATTGAACAAGGATGCGAAGCAAAAGAAGAAACAGAAGAAATCCATCAGCAGTCTAGTAATGGGAACAGTGAGGATACCAAGAAAGAAGGCAGACTTGGATCTCATCCTGACAAAGACAACTGTATTTCATCTCACTCAGAGGAAGCTAACAGTCAGTCCAAAGACACTGACACAGAAATAGAAAAAAATAATGTGGAGGTATTGGTAGGAGATGATACACCTGAGAACTATCAAACCAAACAAGCCAGGAAGGAATTGACATCAGAACTTTGCAAAGCTCCTCAGGTTTGCCTTACAAGTCTATTCCCTGCAATTGCCTGTCACCATTCCTTTGTAGTTAGTACAGATTAAGTGTGTTGTCTGTGTGACTAGACTCCTAGTGATTACTTAGTTGCTTCAGTTGACCTATCATTCCCTAATAGTCTGTGAATCTACAGGAACTCTTATACATTTATAGTACCTGTGCAATTCTGAGGCTTTTGCTGAACTATGTAATTGTTTGGAATGCATAGACTAATAGCATAGCCAAAACAAGACTTCATTATAGACATCTACTAAGTGAAATACAAAACAAACATTGGAAGCATAGTGCTCATGCTAAAGTGTTGTTGGACTGTTTTTGCAGAACAGAGGAAAAATTCACATCCTTAGTATATTTTACAATTTGTTGCATGTCTCATTGCTTTTGTTTTTAGAAAATAGAGATAAGCTGTTTGTCAATATCCATATAATATTATAAGTAATTACTGTCCTGAGTAACTTCCGAATTTTGATTTATTGGCTTGCAATTTAGATAAAGTTAAGTGACTTACTGACTTCATGAGTTCTTTTTAATATTGGCCAGAATTCTGTTACCTATAGATCAAAGGGTGCACATAGCAAGCACTAAGTTGCCCCTTGTTAAAAAAATCAGCACACCAGTCTTTTTATGTAATGAAAAAGAGGAGCATTGGCATCTTAACTAGCAGCAATTCACCAGTCTGATTTACATCATTTGAGCTACAGAGTCCTACATAAGTAATAGGATTCAGATCATTAAGTTAGGTTCTTAATGTACTATTTCCTTAGACATCAGGAATAGGATCAGATGATCAATATCAAAAAGAACAAGATCTTCAAAAGGAGAATCTAATGTTGTCATCTGAAAACATGGAACTACGATTCCAGCTAGAACAAGCCAATAAAGACTTGCCAAGATTAAAGGTACATTTTTGCATGTAATGTTTTCGACAATATTATGGAAATCCGTATATGCTTTGGACTTTTAAAAATGAGTATAATGCCTGCTTTATCTGCCATTGCAACATGGGAGAAAAACAAAATCTCCATATTTTAGCTCATTCTGAATTACTGTGTAAAACTGTTTCACACTAAAATATATCCAGGACAACTTGTGACTATGTTTTTGCTCTGTTAATCCTTAGAGAAGTTTCCACATATTCTTGTAGCTAAAAAGGTTGTGAAACTAAGAATGATCTGTTATATTAGCAAGATTCCTCCTTGGAATATTGCCTATATGTCTTCAAGTGACATCAAGTATATACAATAATGTGCTAGTTGTTATTTTTATTCTGCCAGAGATTGGATGTCAGCGTACTTATTCTGATTATGGATGCAGCAGCTCTTAACAATGATTCTCTGTTACATCTAAATCAGTCTCTAAACCTAGCCAATATATTGTCCTCCTTTCTGTGCTTTTTCCATTTACCATATTTGCCGGTGTATAAGACTGGGCGTATAAGATGACCCCCCAACATTTCCATTCAAAATATAGAGTTTGTTATATACTCGCCGTATAAGACTACCCCCTCTTCTGCACACCTTCCACACACCAAATAAAAGGTCTATTCATTGTCACCATTGTACGGCCGCAGCACGACCACAGCACCTCCAGCCCTCCCCTGCATCTCCCTGTGACCAGCACTAGTGTGCAAGTGCGCATGTGTGAGCTCTGCGTAGACAAGGGGTGGGCCGGAGCGCCACTGCTTCCTGCCGAGCAGAAAGGGCCAGTCACATCGAAAAGGCTGGCATTCCTGTTTCGCTGCTGATGCTCGCTGCGGCCGTGCTGGATACCGTGCGATACTGGACGGTATGTAGAATGAGGTGGGCAGGCATCGGGAGGCTACTATGGGCACCGGGCGAGCATCGGAAGGCCACTATGGGCAGCTATGTCTATCCCAACTGAAGTGCACCCAGCGTATAAGACGACCCCCCCCCACTTGGAGGCATGTTTTTCAGGGCAAAAAAGTAATCTTATACGCCAGCAAATACAGTACTTTCCCTTGCACTGTAATAATCTGTGCCTTTGTTAACTCTGTGTGATATTGCCAGTGGTCAATATGACATACTGGTTGGATCTGTATCTTTTCCAGCTACCCTAAAAGACTTTGAATTATTGAAGTGCATGGTCTTTCCAATGGAGAAATAGTCCATAACTAAAGCATATCACAGTTTCTATATATTTTATATGAAATATATAATAACAGTGTTACACTGTTACAATGACTTGATAAGAATTGTCTATTTTGAGCATCACCAAGAGAATGCCGAGTGGAAATAGTAGATCTTTTCTAAAAGCAATATATATTTGGAGGGAAGATCCTTATTTAGCAATGAACAAACTGTTCCTTGTGGCATGTAAACATCCCTACATTAGAGTTAGAATGGCAGCTGATTAGTATACATATGACTTATATTCCATTTCTGTCTATCTAAAAGTCACCTTCCAGCTGGATATTATTTTCTTTTTAGAATCAAGTGGCTGATTTAAAAGAAATGTGTGAACTTCTAAAGCGAGAAAAAGCAGAAGCTGAGCGGAAATTAGGCAGTATCAGAGGGGTAAGAATTACATTATGGAATTTGTGTTTTGGAAACAAGGCTAAATAATATATTTTATCATTGCTGTTATTATTTATTTGCCACCTTTTCCCCCTTAGGTGACCCGAGGTGGCTCACATATAAAACTATACAACAATAAACAGTTTTAAAACATCTATTAAAAATAATTAAACATATGTCAATATTAAAATCAAGATTAAGAACAATTCTAAAACATGTTTAAAAACATTTTAAAATCTGTAAATTTAATGCATATATCATTCCTGAGACCTGCCTGAAAAGGAAGGTTTTTCCTGGTGATAAAAGGGGGTCAACTGGCTTCTTTGGGCAGCACATTGCAAACCCAGGGAGCAACTACTTGAAAGGCTTTTATGTCAGTACCAAACAAGCTAGGGGAGGTAATAGAACTAACAAAAGGGCATTCCCAGAAGATCTTAAAAACCAAGAAGCCTCATATGAGGTGAGGCTTCTCAGCTTTCAAGATCTTCAAATAATCTGCATCCAAGCTGTATAGGGCTTTATAGATAATAACCAGCACTTTGAATCGGGCCAGGAAACAAACAAACACACTGGCAACCAGTGAAGCTGTTGTAACAAGGGAGTTATATGCTCCCTGTTACCAGCATCAGTCAGCAGTCTGGTGTGGGTGATCACGGAACAAAGGAATGGCTAATTGCCTTAGAGAGAGAACAAAAGAGTCGACAGTGAAAGTCCAGCTAGCGGAGCCAACTGGCAACGCCCTGAAGGCTCTTTTAATCAACTTAGCATGATTACATAGTATGTTATGAGAAAAACAGATAGGATACTAGTTACCTAATAGTAACTAGGATTGGCTAAAATAACCCTTTGATCTTATGCTCTACCTCTAAGCGGAAGGGCAGAAGAAGGGGCTACCTTGCCTGCTGGCAGCCGCCGCCACTTCCTGCCAAGAGTGTTTGCATGTCACTGAAGCAGAATCACAGCTGCAGCCTTTAGGCAGGAGTTTCCCACAGTCTGGCTGTAGCATTTTTAACAATCTGAAATTTCTGAACACACTTCAAAGGCAGCCCTACCTAGAGTACATTGCAGTAAAACCAATGAGATGTAACTAATGCATGTGTTACCATGGGCCGATTTGACATCTCAAGGAATAGGCGCAGCTGGTGCACCAGCTTTAACTGCAGTTTCACTCCTGGCCATCACCGAAACATGCATCCAAGCTCAGGGTTGAATCCAGGAGCACATCAAACCTGCAAACCTGATTTTTCATTTGGAGTGTAACTCCATCCTATCCTCTGATTTGCCTCTTGACTGAGCACGAGTACTTTTGTCTGCATTAAGTTAAGGTGCAAGCCCTCATCCTGTCCATTATTGACACTAGGCACTGATCTTGGCACAGAATAGCTTCCTTGGAATCCAATAAAAAGGAGAGATAGAGTTGGCTGTCATCAGCATACTGAGGGCACTGAACCCCAAAACTCTGAACAACCTTTCCAAGTGGTTTCATGGAGATGCTGAATAACATGGGGGATAGGATTGAGTCCTGAAACACACCACAGGCCAGTGGCTCGGTGTTGAACAAGATTTCCCCAACAAAGCCTGAGTTCAGCCATCCAGGAAGGATTGGAACCACTGTAAGACAGTACCCCCAAGACCTGTCCCAGAAATGTGCTCCAGAAAGATGGCTGCTTAGTTCCTGACCAAGGCAACCAAAGCTGTCTCTCTTCCACAACCAGGCCTGAAGACAGGCTGAAATAGATCTAGATAATCCACTTCATCCAGGGACCTCTGGAGCCAAGATACCATCACATGCTCTGAAACCTTGCCCAAAAATTGCATATTGGTGACTGGCCAATAATTCTCCAATACAGTGGGATTCAAAGGGGGCTTTTTAAACCAGAGGTCCTACTACTGCCTCCTTTTGGCATATTGGTACCCTACCTTGTATGCTGCAAAGATCCTCTCCAAATTCTCAGACAATGGAAACTGGAAAATATCCATTCTTGAAGGACAAGCCAGAGGCCAATGTTACAATCAACAGAAGCTGTGTCAACTACAGCATCTGAATTAGAGTGGATCTGAGTGACCATCTGTAAAGTTTTTTTGCCGCCAGACAAAAATCATATTCTGGAATGCTCAGTTCTAAAGCAGTGGGGAAATGTAACTAGATTTCTGAACTCCCATGTTTTAACATTAATAAACGACTACTTTGTGCTGTTCTTACAAATATACTCTTGTCCTAGATTGCTACGGTTTCATTGCTAATGCTAATAAATAGAGAGTATAGGTGAAAACAGAGTTGAACTGTAGTAGCATAGGGACAACATGATAAACTGGTCTCTCTGGTAGTGCTGTTCACTGTTATAGTGCCTGACTAGGTAAATGATTGGCCTGATCTAGCTGCTTATTCATTTTCATTACACTGTCCTACCTTCTATTGTATGAAGTTACATTATATTGTGATATCACAGGTATCCTACAAAATAGGATGTAATGTTGAGTCAAAATAATTTGAAATTAGAAAATATTCATCATACTGCATTTTAAAATTTTATTGGGGTCGGGTGGGTTTCCTTCCATTATTTATTTGTTATACAGTCTGGAAGAAGTGGAAAAACTATTCCTGAATTGGAGAAGACAATTGGCTTAATGAAAAAAGTTGTAGAGAGAGTTCAGAGGGAAAATGAAGAGCTAAAAAAAGCACCTGGAATTATCTCTGCTGAAAAAATAGCTAACCTTGAACAAGAAAATGAATATTTAAAGGTAATGTATTCTCTTTTAGAAGTGATTTTATTTGGTTTCTTAATATCAAATTAAATGTCTGAAGTGGTATTGTCAGTAAATTTCAGCATACACAAATGATCCATCAGTACAGACATTGATTTCAGAGTTCTAATTTTGTGTGTGCAACAGTGAGTGTAGGTTGATTCCATTAAAATTGTTGTGAGATTTGGTTTACACTGAAGGGGTCACTGTGCTTTCTCCTGCCTCAAATGTAGACAGTATCATAATCTGAGATATAACAAATGTTCCTTTTTGCTTTTTTTACTTGTAAAATATAAAGTCTGAAATGGAAAAATTGAAACTTCACCTTGGAGGAGAATTGAGTGCACGTTATGAATTGAAGACTAAAGGCACAGAAAAAATAATTGCTGAAAATGAGAGAATACGGAAGGAATTGAAAAAGGTACAGTTGTAAAAAAAACTACATGTATTTTATGAAGAACTCGTTATAATTTGGTTTGTCTTGCAATGGTAAACAAAACATTAGTATCTTGTAATATATCTAGCTTAATCAATTTTTAAACTTTTTGTTTTATTTTATTTGTTATTAGCTCTTTTCTACATGAGCTTAATTGGAGCGGGCTGAAGTAGGCTAAATAGAGTTGCTTAAGGTTGGTTAGAGGTCTGCTATGTCATTTGATGCATCCAAATGGCATGTGCACTACAAGCAGCCCTATTTGATTTGGCTCCTTTAAAAGACAAACAAAAAAATAAATCTCCATTCTTACCACCTCCTCTCTTCTCCCACTTCCAGGAGGAATGTTTTAATTTGTAATTATTTAAAAGCGATATAGCACACCAGTGCTGTCCTTATTAGTAAATATAATGTTTTTTGCTTCCTCAACAGCAACAACAAAACTCCTTCCTTGCCACCTCCTATCTCCTCCTGTTTCCAGGACGAAGATTGCAATTAAAAAAAATCTTTAAGAGATGCAATACATCAGCACTTCCCCGTTTCAAATTTAATGGGAAACTATGTTTTCAACAGAGATTCTCAGTGTGGTATAGAGTGGGTAGAGAGATGGACTAGGACTCTGGAGAACAGGGTTCGAATCCCCTCTCAGCCATGGAAACTCACTGGGGGAATGGAACTGTTAAAACCACTCCCTACTTTGAAAGCCCTGTTAGGGTTGCTATACGTAGGGTCTGACTTGATGGTATAGAACACATGTTTTGAACATCCCTGAAATATGACAGCTGACACATGAAAGGCAGAACACATTTCTCATGCATATTTCTGGCTTGCTAGGGCATAGTTTAGTAACCTGGAGACATTCTGGCTGAACCAAATGAACATATGCAACTTGGTTTTGTTGGTCAACAGGAAGCAGAGAATGCAGAAAAGCTGCGAATTGCAAAGAATAATATTGAGTTAATGAATGAGAGATTGACCAGAGAACTTGAAGAGACAATGAGGAAGTTAAGTGTGGCAGAAAGCAGAAACCCACAATTAGAAGCAGCTGACAGCAAGACTTGGAAGTCTATGGTCATAACAAGGTAGAAGTGAATAATAATTTAATAGCTTTAAATATCCATTTTGCCCAAAGTTTCCAAAAATGAGATATGCAACACTGATCTCATAATTTGCACCAAAAGTTACAATATTTACGCTATGTTAGCAATGGGATTATGGGCACTGTGTTTGGTTTAGCAAACAGAATTTTTTTTGTTCATATAATGTCTTGAGATTTTCCTGAAGTACCTGAAAACACTGTAGTTTGCACAAACCGTAATTTTGTCTTTTAGGATGTATGAAAATAAGATGAAGGAAATGGATGCTGATATAGGTAAAAAATCCCAAACCATTAGTGATCTTAAACAGCTGTTACAGAAAGCCACAGAGAATGAAGAAAAAAACGAAAAATGTATCAAAGACTTAAAAGAACAAGTAAGTAAAAAGTTCAGTAGAGAGACAGTGTGGTACAGTGGAGAGAATGTTAAACTTGGACTGAGGAGAACTGGATTCCAATGCTTGCTCCACCATGGAAGCTCACTGTGGGATGGCAACACTTGAACCACTCCTTGAACGTTTCTCATACCTTGAAACCTGGTTAGGGCTTCCATACATCAGAAGCACCTGAATGGCACATAAACTCCTTTGGCCAGTATCTGATGGGATTCTTCCTTTGACTCAACTGCTTTTGTTTGTGGAACTCACTACTCAAACCTGCCTCTGGGGCTATGAAACCCTCCAAAATGATTTTTCAGGTGGCAACAAGAATTGAACAGGAAAAAAAATTCCATTGTGCTGGTGATTGGATATAGGGATTTATTAGTATTTGGTAGGTGTGCTTGATAGTTTGTGTGCTGTTAAGTCAATTCTGACTTATGGCAACCATACTTATGGCATCTGTTCAGGGTTTTCTGTGTAAAGAGTACTCAGAAGTGGTTTACCATTCTATTCTGCTGAGGGTGCCCTGGGACTGTGCAGTTTGCCTACGACTAAACAAGTTAGCTCTTCTCCCAGAAAACACAGTGGAAAAAGGAAATCCCAGCCTCTGGCTCCACAGCCAAAACCCAACTCACTGAGCTATCCAATCAACCAGGCGTGCTTGGGGAAAGATATTTATATTTTGGAGGAGCACCATCCCTTGGTCTTCTTTCATGAAGAGCAATTCTTATTTTCCTAAATTGGGTGTGTATTTCAGATAGTGAACAGACTTCCAAGATGTTAATCATCTTCTAAACTTGTTTCACTTACTTGGTTTCCTACCTCCATTTCCTTTCCTTTAAATCTTCTTCATACCTGTCTGCAAATTAACTCTATTACTCAAACCCTACAACCTTATTAGCAACCTATAATATATCTAAAAAAGAAAAAAAATGAATAACTCACAAATGAATCTTCTTTATATCTTCTTAACTTCTTGATTTAAGACTCAAATACATCTCCTTCTGGACTGGTGGACCAAGCTAACAATCTATCAACAGCTTCTTCTTGATCCTCTTGAATCTCTCCCTTTGAAGTGTAGGCCAGTCTTTCTTCTTTCTGCTCATGCAGTTTGCTCTCTCTTGTTCCCATTGCTGATCATCCATTAAGCCCCACCCATGAAGCAAATTTAAACCTTGATCCAACATGTTATCCAGCATATAAAATTGTTAAGTATGCTGCATACCCCCTTATATCTTATTTTATTCTTTGTGAGAACAATGGTGACTAGCTTTATATTTCTTTGCCATGACAGTTTGTTAACAAACATCCTGATACTTTGGGTCAGTGCATCTTTATACATCTGTCCAGTCTTTTCTCTAGCTCCTTTCATAAACAACAGTTTCTTGTAGAAATTTGCAAACCTAACAATTGTCTCTGGGAGTTATCCAACTTCTCCCTCCTGATTCCTACTTGATGCAATATCTCTAAATATTGAACCCAACCCAAATTTTGTGCCTTCATCCATTCCAATACCACATCTCTAAGATTTATTCCATTTTCAGCACCCTTCTTCACATTTTTTTCTCCATCTTGTCTTCCAAATCAGTTTTAAAAAAATTCCATAATTTATCAACTGACCTCATGCCAGTATAACTTTTCAGCATCAGTTTTAATAATTTAATCAATTTCCTTCACTTTTGAGCCCAATGTTTCAATTTGTTCTATAGCTTTTGCTATTTTATGTATGGTTTAGGTATTGCTGCAGATCCAGAGGTTAGGAGTTCAGTTCCCTACTGTTGCTCCTTGGAGAAGTGCCAGCCTGTGTAGTCATGGACAAGCTGCATAGTCCCAGGGTACTCCCAGAAAAAGAGAATATAAACCATTTCTGTGTATTTTGCACCTAAGAAACTGGGAAGTGTTGCCATAAGTCAGGTTTGACTTGACAGCAAAATATTTTGCTTTGATTTCTGTCTATGTCTTCTGTGTACTTTTTTCCATTTCTGTTTCAATTGATGATTCCAATTCTTTTTCTATTATTATTAATTATTAATTATTATTAATTATTATTATTATTATTATTATTATTATTATTATTATTATTAAAAAGGCCCTTTGTCTACAAGCCATCCCTCTTACCTCCTTGAGGGATGGCTCTTTCAAAAGGGCCCCCTGGCTAGATCTTAACTGCCAGAGAAGGTTCAGGTTTCCAGGGCCCAAGCTGTTTAGGGCTTTATATGTCAAAACAAGTACTTTGAATTGGGTTCTCTTTCTGTTTTATCCAATTCACTTTTATGCCCTTAACTTCCAAGGAATTTTTCCTCCATTATTGTCTTTAATTCTGCTAATAACCTCTCTTGTTTGTTTCTCCATTTCTCTTTTATTGCGAGTTTTCTCCATATTCTTACTCTTTGTTTCAAGCAGACACTTCCTGTAGCCCAACAGGCTGCTCTTAGTTATTAGCTCTGTTATTCAAATTGTTGCTTCCTCTTTCCTGTGACTTAGCAAGCTCTGGAGATATCTCCTTCTGTATATCTATAAATCTCTGAACTTTGATCTGACACAACCAACAATGTAACTGTTTCCCCTTCCAAAGGTTCAGAAGGTTCAATTCTTTGTCACCATGATAAACTGCAATTTGAAGATTGGGATCTGTTGTGTTTCCACCTTGTCTTGTCCTTCTCTGTCTGATGCCTCAGATTTCAATCAGGCACTAAAAAGTTTCCTACCAAGGACAGAACTCAAGAGACCACTCCATTCCTAGCTTAGTAGCTACTTTTTAAATGTGTCTTTTTGTCTTGCAAAATATACATATTACTCACAGTTCCATCAGTAAGAATAGGAGAATATTTAAGGATCTTCTTTCATAGACTGAGAACTTCCGTTCAACTGCTAGCCATTACAGACCAGAAATGGCCCCAGCTGTTTTATTTTGTTTTAACAATGTTTGAAAACTCTTCTCTTCCTACTTAAAAAAAAGCCTCAGGATTTAGGGAGCTTGAACTATGATGGCTTTTCTTTTTTCATACCTATCAATCATCTGTATTGTGGGGAGTGGTGAAAATGTGAAAGAGCCAAGTTGATTCCTTCTGCAAAAGATGAAATTTCCCATGCAGCTAGCCTTGAAGGAGATCTCTTTGTCTTTTACTCAAAATTTGCTGAAGCTTTAATGTTATAATATGCTTTGGGGATTTTGTGTTTTTCCACATGTAAAGGTTGAGCTTCTCAAACACTTTCCTGAGGGCACCCACTCAGAACAAGATCTCGTCAGAGAACTTCAGCTTCTCAGGTAAGGCAGATAGTCTTCTTTCCTATGCAGAACACACATGGAAAATGTTAAGGGCTGCATAAATTTCCTTGCCATTTTTCCATTATAGATTAACCAATGATCGTTTGGAAAAGGAAAAGGCAGAACTTCTTCATCAGATGGAGGCTTCTCAAAATAAACCTGAAGTAAAAGGAGATGGTTTGGCAGCTGGTAATATTTAAATACTTACATTATTGTGGGACTCAATTCTGAGGAAACATTAGCAGAACTCCACTGGTAAAATGGCCGACTTCTCACCATAGCCCCTCATGCCCCCAGACTGCTGTTCTTAAGGATCAAGCCACCATCTGGCATTATGTGGACTTGTGGTCAGAGGGAATAGTTAAATAAAGCTCTTTGGAGAAGGTGCCTCCCATTCATGCAAGAGAAATTGAAATGAAAGCTTATGTCCTTTTTAAGCCATAAAGTGTTACTTCATTTTGTTTTCAGAGTGAATTATAATAGATTATTGTCTTCTAGAGTAGTGGTTCTTAATCTTCTTTACTACGGACCCCCTTTAAATATCTTTTGTTGCCGCAGGCCACCAAGACTTAACTCAAGATTTAAAACCCTAAAGTGCATCAAATATTTATTTAAACTTTCTCATAAAGGGCCTTATCGATGGATATTCCTTGCTATGACAGCAACACTTATAAATATAACTGGAAAAGGCTTCATTTTGTTTTGAGCAAGATGCACTGTCATCAACAGCAACAGTTTCTTTATGTTTCAAACTGAGCTAGCAATCCATTCTGAGGCTCGGCCAAGATATATTGTTATGAAATTCACTGCAATGTCGAAAATTCACTTTACCTGACAATAACCAATTTGTTGTATTAACAGAAATCAAAGAACATGATCACAAAGTCTATCTAAACACTCACTCACACAGACACAGATTGACTATCTACTCAACAGCAAGAAATGTCACACGCTGTCTCTCAGGCACTCAGCATCATTCACTTGCATGTTCTCACCATGTGCAGAACTATCAAAGTTATTTTCATAACCTATTTTCACTTTTGTTTGTTTTTAGTGGAGATGATAGGTTAGAAAAGCCAGTTTTACTAAAAAACAAGCAAGGGAAATTAAGATTTTGTTCTACTTTCTTTCTTTCTATTTTAAGCACAAAAGATTATAACATTTTTAATGCCTTCGCACACTCCCTGCAAGGACATTGCAGACCCCAGGTTAAGAACCTATGTTCTAGAGGAACAGAACAGAACACGACTTCACTGGTACCTAGTATTCTTTAGATAAGACAACAGAGTATTTCTGCTATTGATTTGAAAACAATGAAGGGATTATGAAAGTATAAAACAAAACAAAATGTTGGTATTTAAACTTATAGAATACAGTGCAGCAAGCCTGTTAAAATATTCTAGCTGTGAGGTATATGGTATTTCTTTTTTTACTGTTTTTGCTGGTGCCTACTTAAGTTATACATATCTTCTTTAATATATACAGAAATACTCCTAATCCCTTAACTGTGGCCTAATGATTAGGTAAGAATAGTGAGATTGTGTAATCCCTACTTTCACATTGTACTGCAGTGTTGACCATGCCAAGCCTAAAGTGACACTAATACTAAGTACAATCATAGGACTCAATATTGCCCCAAACCCTTAACCACAACTGATGCTCTTCTGCCTAGTTTTGATCCATTAATTGATCTGTGGGTTTAATACAGTGGTGCCTCGACTTACGACCGTCCCGACATACAACCATTTTGAGTTGTGAACAGCTCAAATTTTGCTTTGACTTATGGGGGTGTATTTTGTGATTATTTTTCACAAAAATAATCACATACAAAAATGTGTTGGGGTGTTTTTTGGTCCTTTTTTTGGGGGGGGAACGGATTAATGGGGTTTCAGTGTTTTCCTATGGGAAATGGTGCTTTGATTTACGACCATTTTGAGTTATGCCCATCTTCTGGAACAGATTATGGTCGTAAGTCGAGCCACCATTGTATATTGCCTCCACCTAAAAGCATAAATTACAAATTATCTGCTCAAATAATATAAAAATTAAGTGAACAAGCAGCAGCAAGAGACCAAAACCTTCCTTACATCTTAAGAAAGATTCCCTATGTAACTCTTTGGAATAAATTATAACCTGTGTTCACAGTACAGAAAGCTATGGCACATGTCTAGCCTTGGATAAAAAGGGCTAATGCTTAATAGTTCCTTGTGTTCAGCTAGAAACAATTATTAATTCAATTTATCTTAATATATTTTTTTTATACATAAAACCTTCCACCAGAATATTTAGAGAAGGCTGCAAACTATAAATTACTGGCAGAAGATCTCAAGACACAGTTGAAAACATCAGATTTGGAACAGCAGAGACTTCATGTTAGTATTGCAAGTATTTAATTCATTATTTATTTGCAGATATCCCCAATAAGTCTGTTAGATTTGCAAACTGCTTAAATTCTTGTGCTCACATATACTTTCCTTGCTAGGCAGTTCTGTTGGTAATTCTATATATACGCCTAGCTAGTTGCAATTTCTCCAACATTTTCTATTACTTACCTTCCAAAATCTATTGATGTAATATATCACCACTCTAATAATTTTAAAGAATTCTAAGGGTTGTTGTTATAATTGTCCTTGATTCAGTAACCTAGTTTGTTCAACATTTTTCCCCCCAATATTATCTTCCCATACTGTTTTCAATCTGAGTTATATTTGTTTCAGTTAAATATCAATATATTTAAGAAGTTAATTCTTTTGTGTTGTTTGTATGTTCCATTAAAATATATTCACAAGCCATATTTCTTTCTATTCATATTTTGCCACATAGGATTATTAATTAAACAATATGATTAAAAACAATCAAATTCTTTTGCACTCCCTTTTTTCTTGTTTCAGTAAGAGTAACATTAAAAAAACTCTTCTTGTGCAAAACCCTGTTTTCTTTCTATTTAGTATAATATTCAGCCTTATCTCCATATGAAAAGCTAAGGTGCAGCATAAATGGGAACAGCAGCGACATTTCTGGAATTGTTTTTGCATTTATTCCACATTTTTAACATGGCATATAAGAAAGGATTATCTACTGATTTGACATCTATTTTGCCCTCCAAATCATTTTTTTTCAATTTGTTAAGTTTTTCCCCTTGCTTCCATACCCCCAGCCACAGCTTCTCTCCAGTTTCCTGTAGATACGATAACCAATTGCTTGTTGCAGCTAATAGTATTTGTGTATGGTAGACTCTCACCATTCTGCTTGATCCAATTTGTGTTTGTCTCAGAATCTTTGCAAGTCTTGAGAGGTTTACTTTAATATAGAAAATGCTTTGCCACTGTGCCAAATACTTTGGATCAATTACCATGAGTATGACTTGAAAACGAGTTTAATTTTGACAATGCTATCATTGGTATAGCACTAATTTTTCCCATAATGAAATGTTTCTGGACCTATCTTTTAATGTAATTCTTAAATATATCTAAATATTACATGGAAATAAACTGCTCTAGTATATTCACATTTTTTGAGATGGTTATTCCTACATATTTCACTGCTTCATGAAATGTTATAATTTTGACTTACTGTATTTCAGGTTTTATATTTATATATTACACTTTGGATTTTTTAAAATTAATATATTGTTAAAATTAACATTCCTTACACATTGAACTTTTTGATTAATTCTGGCAAGGCTTCTCTGGAATTTAATATTAATATTGCCACATCAGCATTTCTTAGATAGTTAATGCATTTGGTTGTACCTGTTTCTATTGCTTATTAGGAAGAAGTCAAAAAATTAAAAAAAGAACTGGATCATTTTGATCCTTCCTTTTTTGAAGAAATCGAAGATCTGAAATACAACTATAATGAAGAAGTTAAGAAAAATATTATCTTGGAAGAAAAGCTGAAAGAACTTTCTGAACAGTTTGGCATCCAAGTAGATACTCTACCTAGAGTTTCCATCAATTAAAAGAAAGGCAAACAGACTGTTTATTTGGAGATGAAGTGGTGCAGAAAAAGAGCAAAAACGTATCAGGGGATCAGGCAAACATTTCTAATTCCTGTTCCATAATTCTGCTGTACCTTTTGACTTCTGATAAAACATCCCTTTGATTAACTTGAGAAATCCTTGTTTTAATTTTTACAAGCATGAAAGCAATGGCGAGAAATAAAAAGAGTATACTGTGAAATTGTGTATATATATGTATAGTGTGCTAATTTATTAAGTTTTAAATGTTATATTTTGTATATTTTTTTATTGGTGTTTGCATTGAAGGAATAAATTGACCACATCTGAGGTATACTTTATTTTTCTATGTTTAAGTAGCATGTAAATAGTGAACATACAGTTTAAAACTTGTTTACTGTCTTAAAATGTTTAATTTCAAAAAGACAGATGAGTAGTATTTGGCTTTGTCTAATAAAAATTCTACAAACATATTGAATGAGTTTATTTTTCATTGTTTTAGCATTCAAAATCAAGACTAAATTTTAGCTTCACTGAAACCCCTCCCAAAGATTTTTTTTTTTTTGTGGAGCAATAGGACATAGGGTGTCATTAATTCACAAAAATTGCCATTGTTGGGATAATTGTACCAGCAGCAATTTTCAGAAATTAAAGATTTTCCACAGCCTCCAACAACTTTCTCGCAACAAAAGGGAGTCTCCAGACCTTTAGGGGTAGGGATGGGAAAAAATAATTTCTGAAATATCACCATAAACTACATAATGGGATTTCAGCCAAAGGCTGTACACGATAATATCCATCCATTGACCAATGGAACATTTCCTGTCCCAGAGAGTTGGGGCGTGTGTGTGTGTCACTTAACACATTTAAGGTACATACACCTAAGTCTTTTAGCATAATAGTGTACTGTACTCCATAATCAAGATTAAGTAGATTTTAAAATGAATTTAGACAATAGTGCAAATACATTTGTAGCACATACATTTCTAAGAAAATGCAGGATCTCAAACATTTTAAAACAAATGTCTGAGCTGGGTGCATTTTCTGAGTCTATTCTTTAGCACACACCTCTATGTACAAATTAAATGGCCAACTCCTTTTAAAATACATTGCAACAAAGAATTGCTCACACCTTCCTAAAAGGGCTGCATCTATGTATTTTAACAGAAGAGTAACAGTTCAGATATATACATGCACTGTTTTATAAGTGATTTATTTTGTAAGTATTTTCTGCTCCAGCACTTGAACAAAAGTATAAAATAAAGTACAAATCCAGAAACTATTCAGTTCATACCAGCAGGGTTGGGTTTTTTTGTTTTTTGTTTTTTTTTTTTTGGCAATTTTGTGGTTTCAGTAACATGGCTTCATCTATTGCTCAATCAAATTTAAATATTCTGTTAGTTCTATATCACTAGAATAAACTGTTGTGTGCAAATTAGTAATTGTAGCTACAAACCTCAACAGAAAAACCTTGATACATCCAGGTACTGTATATATGTTACATTGAAATATGGATAAATTTAAAACAATTCAAAAGTTTAAATAATTTTAATATTGACTGAAAAAGCAATAACACACACAGAGAGAGACACAGAGGGCTGTTAAGCCATATGTAAACTAAGGGCTGAAAGTTACCTGACAACCTTATGTAACGGTCATCAAAAAGGAATGAACAGTTGTGCAGATAGCTCTATTTCTCTTGTTAAGAAATTTGATCATAATCACCTATTATATCTCTCAGACTATTGAATCTTTGTCCATCCAACTTTGAAAAATAATGAAAAAGTGTATTTGGTTGAAAGTTATAGCCATATTTGTCCCCACTGAAGTCTACAACAACTGGTTGAGAAATCAAATTAGGATGTGCAATCGGCCAAGGCAAGCCAAGATGATGTCGATGGAGCTGCAAAGAAAAGAAACAATTAAATTACTGGCATTAAGTACCAGATAAGCATGCATACACATTAAAAATATTGGTACATATTTGTGTATATACTAATTTTTACATAACAGTGCTTTTAAAAAATGGGTAGAACAACCAAATACATGTGGATAGACAGATAATTCGCCCTAATTTGCTAATGCCTCACACTACATGAACATTATTTTTTTAATTTAAAAAGCACTGTTGCGGGGTGGGGTGGGAATTCAGCATGCCAAGAATACAGCACTGTCTGCTTCTGCATATGGACAAGAAAACTTCTGTTACTTTTAATATTTTTTTCAGGATTACCTTGATTAAGCTTCCATTAGCACAATGCCATACAATCCCTTCAATCTTCCCCTCTTTGCATCCATCAAGCCAAGCCAGTATGTCAGTGTGATTGAGTGCAGGTACATTCTTTATCTGAAATATTCCATGTGGAACAAGAAGGTGTATAGGATGTTTCTTGCTTCCTAAACCTATTAAAACATTATTTAAATTTATATAATTAATATTTTGCTCTTTCTCACAAACCCTCCACATACAGTGGGCCCTCTACTGACGAACTTAATCCATTCCGGAAGGAAGTTTGTAAGTCGAAAAGTTTGTAAGTCGAATCAGCATTTCCCCTAGGAATGCACTGAAAACCATTTAATCTGCTCCGGCTGTTTTTGGTTCTTCAGTCGAGCAGCAGTTTGTAACTCAAATTATTAGTTCCCATAGGAACTAATGCAAAGCCGATTAATCCGTTCCTACCACTAGGGGCAGAATTTTTTTCTTTTTTCTTTTAACCTAAGATGACTTAGGTTTTAAAAAAAGGAAAGGAAAGAGGGAGGGAAGGAGGGAACAGACACCTTTTCAACAGAACACCTTGAAAAGCACATTTTCAGCCAAGACAAGCACCTTCTGGGGGGGAAAGGGACAGCAAATGAGAGAGGGAATAACAGAACACCTTTCAGACAACAGAACACCTTGAAAAACACTCCTCAACACAAAGAGAGACATGGCTCTGAACTCCATTTTTACTCTGCTTGCAAGGAAGCTTTCTTCCCAGCAGAATTCCTCAGTACAGACATGGCTCTTAACTCCATTTTTACCCTGCTTGCAAGCAGGCTTTCTGCCCGACATAATTCCTCAGCACAAAGAGAAACATGGCTCTGAACTGCATTTTTACCCTGCTTTCAAGCAGGTTTTCTTCCCAGCAGAATTCCTCAGCACAAAGAGAGACACACACAGCAAGGAAAGATTCCAGCAAGCATGCAGACATTTTAAAACTGTAAAATCCACCCAGGAAAACCCATGCCTCCATTGCAAAAATGCCCTCTGGGTCCACATTTTAACCAGACATATTCAGAACACACACACCCCACAGACACCCACAGCAAGGAGAGATTCCAGCAAGCATGCAAACATTTTAAAACTGTAAAATCTGCAGTACCAGGCAATCTGAAGACTGTCTCTCTATCCACTCTGTACATGCTGGGAAGAGCAAGGAAGCAGACAAGCACCCTCTTCGCTGGCCAACAGATAACTGAAAGTTCAAATTTCTCGCTTTCCCCGCCTCCCGTGCCGGTTTTTTGTTTGTTTGTAACTCGAACACACGTTCGTAAGTAGGGCCTGCTGTTTTCTATGAGATCGGGTTCATAACTCGAAACGTTCATAACTAGGGCCGTTCGTAAGTCGAGGGCCCACTGTAATATCTAATCTGGGGAGGTAACTTCCAGAGCTCGGGGGGGCTGCACATACCCAACTTCTGAGCTTAGAGGGTGATATACCCCATAACACCATTTTTAAAAATAACTGGAAAAGCCTTCTATCCTTCAGTGGCAATTAAGTTCAGGAGCACCAGTAGACCCCAAATCTGGCAAACGTCTTCATAGGGCACAATGATATGCTGAGCAGCGAAGTTTTCAAAAATTGGTGAGGAATAGTTTGTCCATCTCTGCTCCAGACTATCTTTCTTCCAACAAGCTTTTATATGGAAATTTCACCACTACTTACTATCTCCTCAGATCTCGTCTCCTGCTTTTTTTAAAGACTACTGTAGGCTAATTGCAGATTTTTTCCCATAGGCTTTCCAATAGAGTGGTGCCTCACTTAGCGATGTTAATTTAATGCAGAAAAAATCACTGCTAAGCGATAACATCGCTAAGCAAAAAGTCCATAGAAACGCATTAAAACGCGATTAATGCGTTCCTATGGGCTTAAAACTCACATGTAAGCGAAGATCCTCCATAGCGCTGCCATTTTCGGTGCCTCTAAAGCGAGGAATCTGTGCCTGAAAACAGCATTTTGTTTACCCGGTAGCCATTTTGAAACCGCCGATCAGCTGGACGAAAATGGGGGCTTTGCGATGATCGCTTCCCTGCGATCATTGCAAAGCAAAATTTCCCCATAGGGAACATTGCAAAGCGATCGCTTTTGCGATCGCAAAAACAGCGTCGCTAAGCGATTTCATCGCTATACGGAGCAATCGCTATGCGAGGCACCACTGTATATCTTTTCTTTATGATATGAACATCTCAGCCAACTATCCAATTCATCACCCTCCAGAATTACTGAGAGATCTGTCACTCATTGACTTCAGTTTCGTAAAAATCACAGGTTCACTTGATTGCAGTGTACAATCTTCTCTTTTGTATCACACACATGGAAGGGCCACCACACTGAGATTAGACATATTTGAGGTTGAGGGGGTACTGCCAACTAATGATTCATTTACTTTGCTCAGGCATTTTCCTTGCTGGTAACCTTGCAAGTTACATTTGATGACAATGTGATCAATATTTTATTATGCTAGTAACTGCTTTTATTGTAATCTTTTGCTTTCACTGTTACAAATTTCTTGATGTAAAAATATTCTTCTATAATTTCTATTTAGTTGTAAACACTTACATTAGTCTACCTTATGTGTTCATTCACAAAAGAGTTATTGTTCCTGCTCTCCTTGACAAGACTGCATGTCTAATTAGAGCACAGTGCATTTGTTAAAAATTTCTTTTAAATGCTCTTAAGTTAATTGATACAGAATATACCTACCATATGGGTTTGCATTAATGTTTGTTCCAATAAGCTCCAGTGTGTGCTCAGAAAAGTGAGACAAGGGCACTGGACTGATTTCCAAAAGACCAGTTTCCTCTGTGTGAGGCTTCAGAACCAGACCTAGTTCAAATTCATAATCAACAACAGATGTATGCCAACAGTACTGTTTGCTGTTTTTCTCTACTGGCACCCAACCTACAAAAAGAAAATAAATGTTATACACTTCTCCCTTGAACTGCACAACTTCAAGCACCACTGTTTGGGTTACACATGGATTTTTTTCAATAATAAATATTTAATAAATACTGTGTTGCAATTTATTATCCAAGAAATGGCCTGACAAGGTGGGTCTCCAACTTACTGAGGCCCCTGTTGTTGCCTGTGCTTCTGCCTCTGGTAGTGGCCCAGCCAGCCCACTCTCCTGCCATGGCAGCTCCATGTGGAAGCTGGGGAAGGTGCTGGGGCATGCCAGGAAGCTGACACAGGTCGGGGGACGTTACAGCGGCATGCTGCTTTGAGGAGGGGGAGCGGGAGAGATCATGCCTCTGTTTAAGAGGATAGCTGCATAAGTTATGCACAGATTTTGAACTACATGGAGTCCGATACCCCTAATACCAAGCATTGTTGAAAGGGGACGTGTACACACAGAAATATTATCAAAACAATACAAGACTGTATCCGACACTAGCCTAGCAAAGAATGGAATCTAGCATAAAGGGGTCAGAGGAATCCGTTCTTCTCAATGAAACTCCCTGAGCACAACTAAAACCTGCTCCAGAGAACGAGTGATGAATTTCATGTGCCACCCAAGGCTCACATTGGCTGAGGTCTATTTGTAGGACATTTTTGGACGGCAACTTCCAGTACATAGAAACATAAAATTTTTAAAAAGATACATTTTTGGATGAGAAAGCCTTTTTGGTCCTGCAGGCCACCAGGACTGGATATTCTTGTGCTTTGGAACGGCAGGGGTGGGAATAGTGGTTCTCCAGATGCAGCCTATCGGAAAGTCTAAAGGCAAATTTAGACCTCAAGTCTGCAAGAATGCAAACCTCTACCCAACTCAATCAACCCAGATGTTCTTGCAGATGGCCATGCAAATAAAATAATGCACATCTGACAAATAATCATTCATTTTTCCTTCACGTTTGGGAGCAGGGAAGAGGACAAAAATCAATAGAAAGTGTTGTTCTTTTTTCAATTCCACTGTACTGTAATCTGGAAAATGTCATCTCCTCAGCCATGAAGATGAACAAGATAAATAACGTTCTTTGAAGAAGAGATAGGCTGTACACAAGCAGATCTGCACAAGGACATTTACTTTATGAAGTATTTCACAATTACTGTTGACTTCAGATTATTTTATGCTGTCCTATAAAGTTCTCTGAGTAATTTGCCATTCAGCATCAGCAACTGAACATGCATTTATTTGTGGTCATCAACTACTGAAATGCATAGGCGAACAATAAAAAACTTATCATAATGTTCAGAATAGACTTTCTAACACTAAAAGTGCATGTTTCTACCTGGAATATGTCCATTTTCATCAGGAAAAGGTTTCCCATTACAATGCTCTATTTCTTTTGCCGGAATCCAGCATTCAGGGACGGTTCTAAAATCTTCTTCAATATTCCAAGTAAATCCTACAATCAGTATAAGAAATTCAGTTTTGGTAACAGAAACACCATCTGCATTTGACCAAACATGAAAGCATTTTAGTCTGAGATTAAAAAAAATACTGCCATCTACAGTTGCTTACATAGCTTTTTTTAGGCTTTGGTTCTGTGTGTATGTGTGCACAAACATGCAGTGAATATTAGAACTGCTGGTTCTGCCAACATTTCTGCTATCCCATTCAAACAGACAAAGATAAAGATAATTGTTCTTGCTGCACAATCCACTAGTAAAAGTCTGCCATGGTTCAAACATCAAACTTCCTTGATAATCTTGGAGTTTGTTGGCATAATGCTATTGTTCCAATAACTGTAGCCAGAACAGTAAAGGACACCCATTCAACTGCTAATCTAGAACAGTGGTTCTTAACGTGGGCGATAATGCCCCCCAGGGGGCGATTTCATTTTTCAGGGGGGGCGGTAGAACGAAAAGGGGCGGCGTGGGGGCGCTGG